AACCCCTGGCGAGTCCAGCCCAGGAGCGTCAGGGGGGCGGAGCTGGGGGGAGGGCCGGGAGCGAGGGCCCGCAGGTACATCTTCAGCAAGACGGTCAGAGACCTCAGCCTGCTGCGGCACAAGGTGGGCTGGTGGAACCGCCTCGGGAGAGCAAGGGACATGGCACGGCGGAACGGCAACCAGACGGCGAAAGGGCACAACTGGGGCAGAACGCGCCCCGTCAGAAAAGCTCGGTCCCGGTGCCAGTGCTTGGAGCTCAGCCGCGAGTTCTCCGGCAGTGCAAACACGCCCTTCCTCAGCCGCAAGACGCTGAGCACTAGTAGCGTTACGGGGGCCAGCAACTTGGAAAACAGGTGCCCTGGCATGCCCCTGTTTACCCCTGCGCTTGGTGCCCGTCCCATATTCGTAGACAGGGCCGACGCGGCATCGAAGCCCGTGCTCACAGTCAGGTGAGTGCAAAAGGTGATAACGGAGCCGAGCCGCGTTATGAAATTCATTGAGGCACCAGAGGCAGACAGTACCCAAGGTGTACTGAGTGCACAAGGCCACCCGGCCATGCATCCTGTGGGCATGGGCTGCGAGGGCATGAGCCGATGGGAGGGTGAGGCCACACTCCGCGCAGACGTGTGGCGAGGCAAGACCAATGACCTTCCGCGGAGGTGCAGTATCCTTGCTGCGCCAAGCTCTATGAAGAGCCAAAAGCATGGTGCCAGACTGACTAATGCGACGACAAGCAGCCAGAAGTTCCTTGGAGTGTCGGCGGACAGCCATGAGAGTGGGCTCACCAACCGCCAGCGCAGGCAAGCGGCACGCCGGCCAAACACGGCGGACGGCCTCCGCGATGAGGGAGGACCACTCACATCCGCGGTCCCAACCGGCCTGAAACAGGTCAAGGACCTCTTGCGACCTGCCCGAAACAATACGACAGAGGAGGCGGACTCGGGCGATCACGGAGGCGCATTCAAAGTCCAAGATACCAGTGCAAGCCCGGAGTTGGACCGAGGCCACATGGTGGCCGGCATCCCACGCCCCCACGAGCTGTCGAAGGCATTTGTCAAGAAAGCCCTGCAACGGTCCCCATGCGCGCTCGGAGCGAGCAAGAGTGGTGGCCAAGGAAGAGTAGGCAGCCGGAAGGGTGCGGCCTTGCAGCCAGACGGCCTTTAAAGTCCACGGCAGTGTAGTGGAATGGATCAGCCCAGCAGCCTGAGTCCAAATGGCATTACCTCGGGCAGCGGCTGCTTCGATGTCGCGCCTCCCGGTATCACGACAACGTTGGATAACCCCGAGGTACTTGTATTCGGGCACAATCCGGATGCAACGCCCATCCGGCAGGGTGAGCAGGGGCTCGGGTGCGAGAAGTTCCTGGCGTGCAGCATTCGCACCCGCTCCCTGTAGGTGAACGAGCGCCTCAGACTTGCCCGCACCTAGATTGACACGGAAGCGGAAGGCCTCGAAAACCTGCAAGACAATCACACATAGACGACGCAGCTTGGCAGGGGCCCAAGTTGCCTTCAGGAAATCGATCAACAGGCAGAGATCATCGGCCCATGCAATTTGTATCGAAGCATCCGGGCTGCCTAGGGCGTCAGCAGAGGATGCGTGGACAATATCCTCAGCTTGCAATGCATGGTGCAGGCACTGGAGGATAACGGCAAACAGCGCCCCGAAAAGCACATCGGCCAAGCCGTCCCCCGGTCGTGAGCCTCGGCCAGCCATGATAGCCTGGGACTGTCCAACCAACCTCCAGTAGGAGCACTCAACACAGTCCCGAAGCAGAGCAACCTGGTCGCTAGGGATGCCCAACCCAGCTAAGACCCCATCCCTAATCAGGCCGGAGACATGGCTGGGCAGTAACAGACCTCGGAGCGCATGATCAAGATCTCTCCCCTTAAACAGCAGATCACGATCCGCCTCGTAGTAAGCGGCTTGAATGTCAACAAACAGGGCAGCCCACGATCGCCCACGAAAGGTAGCCAAGTCGACAGCCGACCGAAACGCAGTGAGGGCTAGCCCAGTATCAACGCCACGCCGGCCTCCTAATTGAGTAGGAAAGTAGTGGGCTATAATAGTCTGGCCCAACGTGGTACGAAGCTGAGAATGCCACAACTTGGCAACCCCATTAAGCATGGCGATGGAGCGAAAGTTGGCAGGCAGGTAGGCTGGTCCCTTCTTGTGCAAGGCGCCGACAATCGACGCTTTGAAGTGCAGGGGCTCCGCCTCTCCCCAAGCAAGGTGGAGCCATAGGGGCCAGAGCCAACGTCCAGCCTTATCAGGGCATGCCTTCCAGACCTCATTCCGAATGTGGTCAGGCCCTGGCGCCTTCCCACGCTTCTGCAGGCGGCACATATGCTCGACTTCGAGAAGCGTAGGGATCGCAAGAAGACACGTTTCTCTGGGGGCAGCCGCCCAGCTAGAGAAGGCCGCACGAAGCTGGCTCTCGGACACGGGTCGGCCTGCCTCTTGCTGTTGAAACTGCAGTTGGAGTTGTTCATCGATGTCGAAGCCACTGGCAGCACGGACGTCCCTCTTCTGCTTAGCCCCCTTCGATGCCCACGAGAGCTTGGCGACAGCCTCCAAAGGGCGCCCCGTGGCATGCCAATGATCAACCGCCCCGGAAAGCAAGGACTCAAAATACATCCGCTTATCCTGCCTTGCCTGTGAATGTGCTTGAGCCCGGAGGCGAAAGCAGACTTGCGCAAAGTGGGCGTGTAGCATACGCACCTGGTGACGCTCCCAAGGCAGGGCAGGCGAGAGCATTCGGCGTTGGCCCCAGGCGCGGAAGGTAAGAAGACACAGTTGCCGTTGTTGAAGAGCAGTGAGCCGCCGCAGCTCAGCACGGGTGTCGCGAAGGGTAGACAGGAGACCTTCAGCAACGTCGGAAATGTAAGGTTGGCGGCGGTGCAAGGGAGGACGAGCGGGTAACCGCTGCACTGCTTGCGAGTGCGCTTCACAAAGTCGCTGCACTCTAAGGGCACCAGGGCCCTGACATTCGGTCATATGCGACCATAAGTCTTGCGCAACCAGATCCCCGCATGCGGCTGGGTAGGGGCAGCGCGGGTGAACCTTACTGGCAGTCCGACCCCGAATGTCAACCTCCGCAACAATAGGCATGTGGTCTCGGGTCTCACCGTTGAGGATATCAAAGTCCGGGAACTGACGGTAATTACTCACTTTCGTACCACACGTGACAAGGAGATGATCAAGACGCTGGGTTTTTCCTCCTGTGTGTTGCCATGTCCAGACCTGGCCTGAATTGATGTCAGACCACGTACCGGGTGCTGCCAGGGCCGCATCATGGACACAGGCCAAGAGAAGATCATCCCCGAGTTTAGCCGGACGAAGGGAGAGGAGCTCGCCCACAAGGGTCTCCTCCTCATCTCTGCCGACAAAGTCCGCATTGGCGTCGATACCCAGGAGAACAACGCCTCGGTTACAAGCCGGAAGAAGCTGGGAGCGAAGGTCTTGCCAGAAACGACGGATTTCAGCGTCAGGACGCTCGGCATGCGGGGCATGCGCCGCAACCAGGGTCACCGGGAACTCGGCTCGCTGACACTGGACCAGGAGCATCCGAGGGCATGAAAAGCGGATGCGAAAGTCGTCAAGGCTCAATGCAGGCTGGAGTAAGTCCGGGCGGACCCAAATCTCAACACCAAATAGACCTTTTTCAGCACCAGATCGGAAGCTCAAAAATCCATGGGACGCCCAGCGGCCGGGACGGCTTCGGCACTCCTGAAGAAAGGCAACATGGACCCCCAGCGAACTCAGCTGTTTAGCGAGATAAATGCGCCTTTGCCCGTGCCCCTCCCGATTAAAGAAGGACACGTCCACATCCTTAATGGTCTGGATGTTAGCCTGCACAATCCTGGTACATGTGCAGCGCGGCTGCGCTGGCGGCTCCGCCAACCCACCGGCAGGGCGGGCATCGTGAGGGCCTTGGTGACATGGCCGCGGGGCGTCCTGCCACCCCGGGGAGCACCAACAGAGCCGATCATTGACAAGCTGGGCTCGTGGCAGAAGCCACAGCAGCGGCGCGCAGGATAGGAGAGTCCTACCAAACTCCGGTGGGAGGCGGCACCAGCCTGTTGAAGCACACCGTGGATAGGCACTGCCGTAACCTGCCAAGACATCAGCGACCTCATTCACGAGGTAGCCCACGTGACCGGGCACGTGTCGGAAGTGAGTAGTGCACCGAGACTGAACTGCCTGCCAGAGCGCTCGGCACAGCAAGGCATGAGGCATCGAGGCATCCGCATGCCCACCTGCGACCTGAAGGGCAGCGCTATTGTCAACTGCGACAGTGACCTTAGGCGGTGCCGTGCCCGTGAAAAGGAACAGATTGTCCCACCACGCAGTAAACCAAGCGGCCGCAGACAACAGGGCGCTGAGCTCGCCAAAGTAGGAGCGCAAGTCGGTCTGTTCACACGGGTAATTCGGTAGCCAAGGTGTGGAGAGGAGGTCGCCGGCATCCCAGCCTAGGCGAAACCAGGCGCCGCGCCACAACACCCAAACGGCGAATCCCCAACCACCCATGTGCATTCCACTGCCATCGGTAGCAATTAGGACCTCATCAGGGACCCCGCCAGGCCAGGCCGGAAACCCTCGCCATCCAGCCTGGTGAAGAGGCGAGAGAGTACCCGGCAAGTCCCGGAGCAACGGCCTGGCAAGGAAATGGGCCGCAAGGCCGGCATAATGGTAACCGGCTGCCTGGAGGTCGAGAGAACGGCCCCCGGGGGGCGACTGTTCAACTGCCTCTCGGTAGTGACGACAGGCAGGGGCACCCCAGGCCCGGCCGTAACAGCCAAGAAGGCAAGCAGACCACGCGGGTGGCGACCACGCGTGCCAACACAACAAGGATCCGACCTGTCCATCCAAGTGTTCCGCAGGCATGACAGCCCTAATGCCAGCACCAGGCCAGGCCAAGTACCAAGCGCTTTGGCGGCTGGTAACGGGCGAGGCAAGGGGTAGGGCAGAACGGACACCTGGCCACGCAGTCTGAAGTTCCCAGTCAGACATCCGAAGGACAGTGGCGAAGGAAAGATAGCGAGGAACATGAAAGGCCCCGTACAGGAGAGCTGCGAGACCACACGACCAACCAGGCGTAATAGGGTCGAGGGCAAGCACCAAGACAAGGCTAAGCCACAGGCAGGTGGCAGGAGCGCTGCTACAACGAGAGCTGCTATCACCGTCACGAACAAGCCCGTGGTCAGAGTATCGCGGGACGTCCAGCAAGCGCATGGGGGGCTGGACAGGCAAAACATGTGCCCGTTGAAGGTTGGGGCTTTCCGGCACCAAGTGAAGACCCAACACATCATATCTAGCAGCAGGTATCCATCTGTCGACACTAAACCGGACGAGAGAGGGTCGGAAGGTGCAATGCACAGGGTCCCACACTTCATCCCGTTCAGTATGTACCGTGAGCGGAACTGGCTCGCCCGCAGACCATGCAAACAGAAGGCCGGGATTGCGGATCTGGAAAGGACTGCCCCAAAAAGCGTATCGCCTGGCCTGAGGAAGAGTATCCCAATACCGCCCACACGGGGAGCGGAGTCGGGGAGCCCAATTAGCGCAGGCTAGAGTCAAGACATCCCCAGACCGGAGAAACAAGGTGGGGTTAACGGAAAAGGCAGTGCCGCACCAAAGTTCGGGTGGCGCAAGAACGCAAGCCAAATCCGGTACCGAACGTCGGCATGCGCGAGTGAGGTCACCAGCAGTGCAGGTGGCAGGAAGAATTGCGGCCCTAGTGGCTGGCGGGCATTGAAGTAGCACAACAACAAAGAGCGGATCCGAGGGAACAGGTACCCAGTCCACAAATCGAGGGTCTTGAGGGGGCGTAACCAAAGTAAAATCGGACCATGCAGCAGCGGAGGTCCGGAGACCGGAAGGTGGCCCAGCAGCCGGTCCGAAGAAGGGGCCAAGGACACAACCAGACGGCTCCCAAAGTCGATGACACGTGCGATCCGAGTCTGTTAACGTCTGGAGACGGGTCGCTTCGACACCGGTGAACCCAAACGCCAACAACCCAGGTAACCACCGAAATAGACTGGTGCCTGCGTTCCCCAAAAGCGGGGCAAGAGTGAGGCCAGCTGCAATCAGGCCAGAGAGGTCCCTGCCTCCGCCACACCCCAAAACAATAGGCAGGAGGCCAACCAGCCACCCGGTGCCCCCAAGATGAGAGTGAGACGCCGCACCGGAAACGACATCGCCGTTTCGGAGAACTGTGCCGTGTCGGAGCTCATGCTGGGGCACCCCAAGGACGCGCGGCTGCGTCGTAACCGAGGGGAGATCTGTCCAAAGCTGCCATGCATCAGTGGTGGCTTTGACAGGGGCACACCAGCACTTGCCGTCAGCCTCGACGACAACATTCACATAATCCGGGTTCTCCGAAACGACCACGAGATGGGCGTGATCCTGGGCAATCCAAGGCACGGGGACCCAACGCCCTGGGTAGTGGCGGCCAAAGTCGCCCGCAAAGGTGAAGTCCAGCGCTCGCCACTGCGAGCCAGCCTGCGCATGTCCCCGCACCGCACGTTGGCCCGGCCGCCAGAGAACAAGATTAATTCGTACGGAAACCACAAAATCCACAGCCCAAACGGCACAATGACGAACTTGCGCATCGGTGTGGAAGATGGGTGGTTGATAGGTGGGCTCGAAAGCCTCGGCTGGGAGGGCCACGATGAGATCGCCGGAGCGCCAGCGGATAGGCGCATCGGGCGACAGCAGCGCTGTAGTCGCACTAGGGGCACGCACTGCAAGGGCCTGGAGAGGCTGAAGAAATCGCAGCGCCTCACCAAGCCAAAGTAAGGTGGATGCGCAGGGAACCAAGATAGAGAAATGTCGGTCGAGGGACGTGCCCGCAAGGCAGACGAGGTCAGCAGTTGCAGGGCGGGGGACAACAAGAAGGGCCTGCAATGCAGCCGTGGGCCACACCGGCGCAACTTCAGCATTCCACCCAGGGTCGCAAGAGGCCGCCAGAGAATGCAGGTCTTCAAGGGTAGCAGACGTATAGAGACGGCCCGCCTCCATGGGCCCGCGGAATGGGCTCAAGAGGACGACATCAAGCTCGGGCCTGGGTGTAAGATCGATCAGGTCGGCCTCACCTGGCTTAGCCCGCCAGGGATAGAGTCCTGTGCGAATGGTCAAGAATTTCAGATGCGGGGATCATGCCTGAAGCAGCATAAGCGAGAAGGGCCATCCCGAGGCAAGTGGGCCAACGTAGTGCAAGCAAACTAAGAACCCCTAGGTGTGCGGCAGGGCTCCTAGATGCGGGGTCAGGTGAGTGGAGCCCTTCAGGGTGGCGAGCACTCGGTCCGGACTCATCTAAACTGGGCGGCCGGAGGCTGAAGGGGTCCCAGACTTCAGAGGCAGTCTTATCGACAACCAAGACGTCGCCATCCCGCAGTTCACTCCCGGCCCGTACATAACGAAGCGCGGGTAAAAGTCGCCAACCGACCGGGGGTCGCTGGGTGTTGCAACCTGCCAGCAGGACGCCGACGGGGGCCATCTCAGGTGGGAGCAAGAAAATCACATGAGCTTCGGACACCGAAGTGCGTGCCATAAGGTGGAGATCAGACAGATCGCCAGTAAGAACCGGCACCCACGAACCAGGCATGATGTCGCCTCCGAGGCTTCTGAAAGTGGGGATGAGTGGATCCCAGTACGCCGAATCCCGAATATAGATCGGGCGGCCCACCCGGCTAGAAGTAGACCAGAACGTGGCCAGACCGCCAGTCTCAAAACGGAAAGGGAGTGACCAACTTGCGACCTGCCGAGCACGGTCGAGGGACGGATAATGCAGGGCAGGGAAACGGGCTGAGCCGGGATCCGACGCCGTGGGCAGAAATCCAAATGCATCCCCGTTGCGAAGGTGGAGATGAGAGAAGGAGTGAAGTGCTCGCAGAGTGGGAGGAGGTATGGCCTCCCAAAACCGAGTGTCAGGCAGTAACCGCGCAGCAAGACGCTGAACATCCTCAAGAGATGAGTCCACTGATGCCAGGGCGACCGCCGAACCACTCAAGGTATGCAAGACCACAGTGGCCATACCGAAAGGGGCCACTGGTGCAAGAGTTACCTGCGCGAACGGAAACACCGCGCGGACAGGGAAGAAATGCCGAGCCCAGGTGCCACAATGACGAGACCCCAGCTGCTCAAAATCAGACCAGGGCCCGGCCAGATTGACCGGATGATACTCACTCCATCCACGCACGGGGCAGAGGATCCTGGCAGACTGCAGAGTAGGGCAGGGAAAGCACCTCGCAAAGCAAGTAAGCCCATCAGGGTTGTCTGGCTGCCAACCGGCTTGCAACAGATAGGGCTCGCCCATGCCAAAATCAATTCGCGCAGGGAAGAAGCTTCGATGACCCGAGGCGGCCCGGGACCTGCTACGACTAACCCCACGTCTGGTGCATGCGGATGGTGCGAGCTTCCGAGGAATCCACACTAGGGCAGCTACCAGAGGAGCCGGAGGATGCCGCCTGGCCATTCCCGATGAGGGTAAAGAAGAACAGAGCTGCGCGTACAGTGGGAGAAAGTCGGCCGGTCCAGCCAAGAGCTAAGGATAACACCCACCAGTCGCCATTACGAAGGCTCGACTCCTCCAGGACGGTGCTGGACGCAGGTCTCAGGGAAAAGCCATGAATGTACAGATCATGAGCAGCGCCACGGTTGACCTCAACACAATGAGTGGTGCTCCGGGATTGGATGATATTGACGCAGTCGGCGGCAGAAGACTGCTCGACTAACCAGGGAGGGGTGCCGATGTGCCCATGACACGGGGCCCACCTTGAGTCACCAAACTCAGACACATGCGGGTGCACCGTGGCTTCCGCGGCATTCCAACGCGCTTGGTGACCAACCATGACAATGCGTGTGGGGCGAGCAGGTGACCAGAGCAGAACACAGGAGGCATGTGCCACAATAAAGTCAGAATGCCAAGCCGCTGCAGCATGTGCTGCACCCCATGTGAGAAACACTGGGGGTTCACGAGTATGAGCCAGGGGGTCGACTTGCTGCAGGCGCACTGCAACCACGTCGCCGGAGCGTAACGCCAACACGGGCCGTGCTGTGCAGGCCGCCTCTGCCAGCCCTGGCTGCAAGTGGACACTGACGCGACGTCCCAGACGCAGCTGCAGAGCTTGCATCAGATCGCGTGGCGTGAGGAAAGCTGGTAGGATAACACAAATGAGCTGCCCCAGCCCCGCAAGGACAATGGATACCAACCTGCCACCTGGGCGCGGCACCAGAACGCGGGAGCCATCGAGAACAAGCCCCGTCTCCGTGAAGCCCCGATGCCAGGAGGTTAAGGTATGATGGGCCTCGGCAATGACTTCGTCAAAGGCGTGCTGTGGGTCCACCACGACACGATGCCAGCTTGCAAAAGGATTGGCCAAAGTAAAAGTAAGCCGGGGCGGAACGGCAGCCGAGACCTGAGCAGTCCCGGACGACGCAGACGGTTCCTGCTGAAGCATGGCGGCTGCGTGTGGGGTCCCAATGGCGGACACCGCCCACAACCCGGGTAGTCGCCGCATGCGTATAAGTGTAAGGGCCAAGAGCATAGGCAGGGGCCTAAACGAGCAAGCTAGGCCAACCCCTATACCCCAACTAGACAAGCTGGGGAGATCGGGACTAGCACCCCTCTCGAACTCACCGAAGACAACATCGCACAGGCGTGCTCCAAGGCATATGTAGGTATGCCCCCGACTTGGATGGTCCTCGGGCGAAGGTGGAGCTGTTCCGCGATGCTGCGTCGAGATACGACGCGATCAACAGAACGACACAAGCGCCCTTCAGGCGTGGCCGCAACAACATTTACTTTTGCCGCAACTCCGTGAACCTCAATCAGTTGTAAAGCCCGGGCACTGGTCCACTGGACAGGGGTCCACATGCCGGGAAACTGGTTCCGGAACTCTCCTGAAAAGGAGAAAGCCTCAGGGCACCAAGCTTCGCCGGCAGGAATCGAAGTAAGGAGCGGAGGTCTTTCCGGCCGAAGCAGGTGGACAGGGATGGAGTGCATAAGCCGGAAACCGACAGCCCATGGGGCGTGGTGCGCTGCAAGACCATCCTGCAGGTGCCACGGCTCCACCATCTCAAGCGGCTCTTGAGGGTCCTCCGGTGGGTCATGGATATACACAACATCTCCATTGCGGAACTTGAAAGCTGCCGGAGGGACATCAAACATCTCGCAGATAGCGAGGCCGTGCGGGAGCGAAATCCCCCCAACGGCACTGTTGATATGTCTGGCAATGAAGGAAGTCAGCCAATCGACAGTCATCGTCCTAGGTGTGAGAGCGGCCCGGTGGTGGCCATTCCAACTGAGCATCAATGTGACAAGGGCCGGATCGCAACCGATAGGCACGATAGACAGCTCATTGAAAGCAGGCCCAGGCCAAACAGGAAAGAAATCCTCAGCCCAGCCAGGGTCATCATTAAGGAACTGCGCCCAGGCTTGGGAGTGATGGGTGTCGTGGGAAACAGTAAATGGCGGGTACACCCCTTGGAACGGGCTATGCAAGACAACATATACCGGGTCATCGGAAGTGATACCGGCGAAAACCCTATTAGCGGGGTCAACACCCCACGGAAACCCTCCTGGCCGATGCATGCCAGACACAGACAGGTGCAAAAGAGCCACTATGGCAGCCACAAAAGGACGGTGGAGGCCAACTAGGGCAAGAAGACAACGGCCCCAAATAGGCGCACCCCACACGACAGCCGATGTCGCACCCGTAGGACCCTCGCCTGTGGTCAGTACATGGCTGGCAGTGGCAGCAGCGGCCGCTGGGTTGACGGGGCGAGGCGGTGGGAACGCTCGAGACAGTGAGCGGCTGGCAGAAAGGCAGTCACCATTGCGAAATTGAATGACCTGTGTACCTTCATGCACCTCGGGTGGGCGAATGTCATACATCTCACCGTCAAGATGCAGCGCCTGCAGGGCAGCCGCGGCAACCGCCGACGGTAAGCAACACGGGACAAGACGACCTGCAATGCTGATACCCACAGCCGCATTGCCGGGAGCCTGCGGGCAGCCAATGAGATGGACGGCGACGGCGTCCGGCTGTGGCTGCAGAAGTGCGAGGCCAGCCCAGCCACGGCTTCTGGCGTGGCCCGCGAACAGAACAAAAGGGTTGATCTCAGGTCCTGCTGAGTACTCTACAATCTCGCACTGTTGTCGGGCAGTAAAGGGATTATGAATACAGAAGGGGGTACCTAGCGGTATGGCAGGAGCAAATGTGCGAATCCCCCGCTGAATGCCAAGGAGGTCAGACTGAACTTGCCGTATCACATCTTCAGAGGCAGCAGGCTCCCTCTCCTGCGTGGACGGCCAATGCCCGAGCGCATAGTCCTCAAGGGGACGTGCGGCCCGAAGGTACATCATGCCTGGCTGGAACGGGGCATTAACAGGTTCAGGTGGCGGCGGGCCCGCCGGCCTCCTGACAGGAACTGGGGCTGAGGCGTTAGAGGACATATCGGAAGCTTGGACGGGAAGAGGCTCCTCTTCTTCCTCGAGCTCGTCCTCGGAGCAGAGTGCAGGAGGGGTCATAATGGAGCAAGAACCAACGGAGGCAAATGCAAGAAGGCCTCCGACTGCAAAGGAGCCCTTTGGGGGCCAAAGCCATAGAGCCAGTCCCACGACCGTGTGCAGCGGCGCACAAGTCCTAGCACTGGAGGGGCCGCTGATATCAAGTAGGTCGACAGTCGGAGAGGACGCTGACGCACAAGCACCTTGAGAGGACAAACGCAAAACTGTCTGCCCATCACCTGTAGGTTCAGCGTCTGGCTCCGCCAGACCCGCCCAGAGCCTCGACGTATGAAAGGAAAGTTCCCGGGCAAGATGGTGGACCCGAGACACTGTAGCATGATCGAGGCCGGTACCGTTGCCAGAGAGATCAGTCTGAACACCCTGATCTACAAGTGGGGCAAGGGTAGCACCATCAGCAAGGCGCTGGCCGTGTCCGTCAATTAAGATGGCAGGTTCTCCACGGCTCGGCACATGGCGGAAGTAGGGTCCCTCGATAACAAAGGGCTCTGGATTCCAGGGGTCATCGTCACTAGGTAGCCTAGCAAGGGCACCAATAAGAACCTGAATAATCGCCCCAGAGGGAAAGTCAGGCAAAGCGGTTCCTGGCGGAAAGAATTGTCCAGCATAGGACAACGCAGGGCAACGTTCCGGTAGTTGCCCACCCTGAAAGAGGGCACGGAGGTGCGCAGACACAACGTCCCAGTTGAAAGGCGAATGGCCAAAAGTGACCACAGCAGCGGCCCCCCAATGAATAAGCCAAAATCGGGCAGTGGGTTGCGTGGCGGGGACCACAGGGACAAAAAGAACATGCTGCACAGTACTGTCAGGGAACGAGTGCGTCGAGCGAAATTCCCCGGGGTCATCAATGTGATGAAGCCGACACATCAGGTCCCTCAGCCAACGCGTAGGGTAACCCTGAGAACGCCATGGAAGATCAACTGGTTGATTGACATTGAGTGTCCAAATTCGAATGGTAGAGGGGGCCGGCGGATTGGCCACAACGAGTTGCCCGGGCTGCTGCATTGCTGGCGGCTGCATGGAGAGAACCAGGCGGCTGAGGAGAAACAGGGAGAGGCCTCCAAAAAGCTGCGACGAACAAGCCCTGGCCGCAACGACCTGTAGGACACCGTCAACAACCTTACCCACAAGCCCAGGCAGGACGCGGGTAATGAGGGCTCGGGCGCCTTGGGGGCTTGGAAGCATGTACCTAACTTCGGCGGAGGGTTCAACATTATAGACTACACCATCGGGCTCAACCGTGCAGAAGAAAAAGGTGCAGTGCGAGGTGTAGTGCTGCAGAACCGGCCGTAGCAGTTCACATCCAATCGAATCTCGAAGGATCCACCAGACAAGAGGGGATGGGGGCGCAACCAGAAGGTCCAGGACTTGTGGGTTGGAGTCGAAAGCCACATGCAGGCTATACTCGCAATCAGGCAAGAAAGCACCCAAGTACGCGCTGAGGTGCCGATCAAGATGCCTCCCACTGACCCTCATATGAACTGGCCCTTGGCCTGGAAGCCATAAATGGATCTGAACCTCTGGCAAGGGTGCTGTGCAGGTTATATAGGCACCCAGCTGGGGGGCGGCGACAGCGAATCCATGCGTCTGTCGGCCTAGCTCGTGGGTCCAGGACAGAGTGCATGTCCGCGTGAAGTCCCGGCGCGTGAGAAGGGGGTCGCCAGACCGGGTCTGGGGAGCAAGGTCGGACGGGGCCAACGGAAGCTGGACGGCACTCACCTGAACAGCCAGAACGCCCAAGAGCCAGGGAAGGCGCCATTTGCTGAAGCATAACCAACTCATGGCTGTGGAGGACAGTGACGCCGGAGCAGGTGGCGGGCTTGGAAAGTGGGGGTGACATTGCCGGAGCAACTGCGAGACACCCTCAGGCGAGTCGTACCCTACACTAACACATTTACCAGCAACCCCGGACAGATCTCTGGGGTACGGCCAAACTTGGGCACGATCCGACAAGAATGTGTGGGGCAACTCCCACAGGGAGAGGGACAGAGCCCGTGCCACATCATCCCAATCCGGAGTTGGTGTGCACATCCCGACAAGTCGGCCCCCTTCACGTAAAGCCCACACTGAAAATCCCGGGATGCAAGACACAGTGCACTTAACCCGCCAAGCTTCGCACCACACACTGGCGAAGTCGGAAGCAGAGTCGGGAACAATGCCTACCCCACAATTGGAGGGCGGAGCTTGCAGAACCGCAGCAGGTGTGCTCGCCGCAATGAATGGAGCGCTTGTCTGGACCTCAGCATGAGCAAGGGTGCGGCCTCGAGGAGGGGGAAGATGTGTAGACTGACGGATGACACGGGGCTCACCAAGAAAGCGCACCAGATGTCGGCCTGCGCGTGCAAAATCAGCCTGCGTGTGAACAAACCAAAACCGGCAGTCAGCCCGGCCTGGCATGGGAGTGCATTCCCAAGATAACACAGACAGTCCAAAAGGCTGAAGCTTGCGGAGCAAAGTCGCCGCTGGCCGGGGACTATGCAGAAGGCTGGCAAGGAAGGTCGGAAATGAGTCAAAGACTCCAGAAAAGACCAAGAAAAGGCCAACTGATGCAGCATCGGAGACATCAGTGAGCCGATAGACAATACAGTCCTGACCGGTCTGAGCCGCTGCGAAAGTGGCATGTGGGAGTGCATCCAGCCCAGGGACTTCCACAAAACTGTGTTTAAACCCCGTAGTAACGCCGCGCAGAAGAGCCTGCAACAGGGCAGCGTCGACAACATTCGAGCGCGGTACTTCGAAGGACAACACCCCTTCATGCGGGTGGAGGATGGAAATAACACGCATTTCGTGCAGCCAACTAGAGGCTGGCGCACCTCGACATGGCAGCATAAAAGAGGAGACATCAATGGCACAGGCCGCAGAATTAACAACAACCCTGACAACATCACCGTGTCTCAGCTTATGTGCGTGGCCTTTCAAAATTTGGATATCGGTAGATCCAGCGGCAGTCTGGGCGGCTTCAAGAACATGTGATGCAGCATATGCTGCCGGCAGCTCAGCGCATACAACCTCCTGGCCAATATCAAGAAGCACGGTGATGGCAGATGAGCATCTGGGGAGGGTGATTAAGTTGATCGCGTCGAGGGTAGGTCCGACAGGCGCAGCAACAACTTGGGGGCGGCCGAGTCGAATGGCTTGTCGGTACACCTCGGCCGAGGCCTCCCGTGCACTATCAGAGCTGGAAAACTCAAGACGGACCGAAGATCCAGGTTGCCATAAGCGACAGGAGATCAACAATCTCGCGCTAGACGATGGCAGCACCGCCCAAAGTTGGCCATCCCCGAAGTCTCCACTTTGGAGCCACAATGCTTGAAGGTGAGTGTGTACTCCGGCTGGCGCGGCAACCTGGCGATCCGGGGCTCTGGAGGCTGAGACAACGACATCACGCGGCGATGGGGGCTCACTGTGAAGCTGAACTGCCTCCGAGAGGCCAAGGTTGAGAAGAAGAGCTGTTGCACCCCAAATCAACCCTCCAAACCTGTCCGACAGAAATCCATGCAAGACCCCAATGCCAAGGAAGCCAAGGCAGGGGGGGGACACCGAGCCCACTGCAAAAGAGGTCTCGGAATCCGGCTCTGCAGCAGGGTCAGGTGTTGCAAGACAGGTGCTGTCAAGAAACTCAGACGGGGAGACCCCTGTGCATGCCGGCAAGGCGGCCGCAGCTGACGCGCTGGCGTGCGAGGGCAACAAGGTATGTTGAAGTGCAAAAATGGTGTCAGAGGTACCCGCGTCGTCCCATCCTCCGACTTGCTCCTCAGAGGAGGGCGAAGAATCCTGCCGGAAGACATGAGGGAAAAACATTATAACCAGCGGGAAGTTACCAGAGAGAACTTGCTCAGGAAGAACCGCAAGTTCTCGGTAGAGAAGCCCAAAACCCCCTCTGGCACACTGGTTGACCCATTCGACAGGGAGGCTATTCCTGTCACGGCAAGACGCGGCAGCAACGGCAGCAAGCGGAGTGACGGGCGGGGACACACACACCGTGGTCAGGCGCCAGCCTACGGGCCTAAAATCAAGAATACAAGGCACCTCGTCACCACGACAATGAATTTCGAGAAACTGCACAAGGGGCAACGAAGGCAATGGGTGCCAAATACGCATGATACCGCCGGTGGCACTCGGCGAGGCTTTCGTCGACACTATGCGCCGAAAAGTGGCCGCGTCAGCAAACACCGGTGCCTCAACATACACCAAGCCATTAGGAGTGAGAAGAATGGCTTGGTTGTGCGAGTGCCCAGGGAAGGCTTCCTGAGTGAGCGGCGCCGTAGGAAGGCTAACCTGCATACGCGAAAACAGGGAGAGAGGGGGATCCAGTGACGCTCCGATGAGTCCTTGCAAGGCATCAGTTGTCGGCCCCACCTGAAATTGCAAGGTATCCACATTTTGCAAGAACAGTGGCTGGGACAGGAGTGTCAGCCAGCCCCATGGGCAGCGGGCTAACAACAAATCAACGTCTGCCTGAAGAGCCTGAGCGGTGAGAGCAAGCTGAGCAATGGCACGACATGTGGAATCACGTGGGCAAAGGAGCATACATATTCTCCCTCCAAGTTGGCGCATGTCAACAGGAAGCCAAACTTGGCGCCAGGTACACCCAACAGGGGTGAAGAGAAGCTGCTCCCCAGGAAGTCCTGGTAAAATGCCGCGAACAGAGGATGCCGTGAAAGTCCCAGCCGGGAAGCCGAGAGTTGCCGCTACACGGTCGTGCAGGAGTGGCCCGTGCAACCACTCGTCAACCAGAAGAGGTATAGGGCAAGGCTCAAGGACCGGGGCGCCAGGTGGTGTGCCAACAAACACGGCGAGGTGCCGCCTGCTCCTATCCGTGCGAGGCAGCAGCAGGTTTCCAGTCCGACCGACTGGGTACACTTCGCACATCTCCTCGGCAGAGGGAGTAGGAAGGACCGGGCCAGTACTGAGGACAGGAAGGCCCTCGTGAAACCCATGAGCATGCAGTTGCAAGGCATCAAGCGAGGGAGGAAGGCAAGCGGAAAGAAGCCCGACGCCCAACCGAAGGGAGGAGCCGTCTACAACAGACAAGTACAACAACACAAGCGCGACTCGAAGAGGCGGCCGGCCCGTAGAATGTGTACCTGGCTTCACGCAATGCCTCACCAGAGCGATCCTGCGGCCAGCACGGGGCATCCCGGAGTGGCGCCCTCGTCGCCAGAGCCGAATCAAATGGTGACAGACGGGCCTGACATGCCGGGGAAGAGGGAAGCACACAAGTTCAGCAGGCAGAAACCGGAAGGTCCACAGGGCCGCGCACACCAACCGTGAGTGAATGCCAAGGCACAAGCACGGGGCAAAGGCCAGACACTCGCTGACAATGGCACAACCCAGCATAGGTGCAGGTGGACCAGCGGATGCCGCCACCCACCATGCGGTGGCCGAAATGGTACTGCTGAGTTGCCACGCACGGTGCCAAGGGAGCTTCCTGCCATAGGCTGCATGAAATCGGTCTACCACAAGAACTACGCGGCTCAGGGCTATGTACAGGAGAACACATCTGCCTAGGAAAAGGCCCAGCGCAGTGACAGAAAAGCCCCGCCAAGGATGCTCTTCTTCACTGCGATGGGCGAGGCCATCGTGTACTTCCAGTAGTGACGGCGTCAGCTGCAGCACTGGGTGACCAGGGGCGAAGTAGCACCCTACTCGAGCTCCTGCGGATTGGGGCTCAAATCGACACTCCGCATCGGTGACGGCATGTGTAACAGAACCTGGACGTGAGGATCCGTCGAGGGTGCCGAGGCCACAAACCCGCGGAGGGGAGCTCCAGCTTCCAAAAGGAGATCCGGGAACAGCCACTCCTGTGCCGTGGCCGGTGCGAATGAGAACGGGTCTCGTAGGCCACCCAGAGACATGAGCGCCGCCACCACGAGGCCCTGGCGTAACAAGGGAAGTGCATTGGCGCACCTCCGCACTCCATGCAGGGCCTCGGAAAGCGAGAGGAAGAGTGCCTGGAGGTCCGCTTGAACCGGGTCTGCGACCGCTCCCTCCAACATAGTCCAGGCAGCATTGGCCATACTGAGCACCACATCCTGCGCCTGATCGTCCCATGCAAGAGGCAGAACCAAATCCTGCTGAGGGCTGCGGCTGAGCTCTCCGATCAGCTCGGCACCATTGTCGACTGCAAAACGCAGGATAGCCAACCAGGAGGCGATCCAGGAGCCAGCAGCAGGACCAGGGGCCGCTGGAAGAAGCTCGGGCTCCTCGCTGGCTATCTCGGTAGCTGTTTCGCGTCGAGGCCCCTCTGGTGTACGACCGGTGGCCTCGCGAGACCATGGCGAGCTCACCGCGTCCCGTCGTGGGCTTTTTGCAGGTCTGTCGATACCACCACCACTGCGTTTGCGCCACCGCCCCCCGCGTGGCAATGACGAGCCCGGTGGCACTGCCGCGGTCGGACCATCGAGCGCTCCGAAGCTGACCTCGGAGCCCAAATCTCCCGCAGCTGGAGGAGGCAGCTGAGATCGCAGCTCCGGGGCCCCAGGCAGGTGGACATCCGCAGGAGTCCCAGTCCACGGCCAGGTTCCCGGTGGCGTACTTCCCATGGGCACATTTCCTTGCCCTGGTGTTATTCCCTGCATCGGCGTGGGAGGAGCAGCTGTGGTTGCAAAGGCCCGAAGAGCTGCCGCCATACGTTGAACCTCCGTCACCTGAGCCTCCGACCAAACAGGGCCCAGGGAGCGGACGGCCCGATCGAGCTGCTCCTCCGTGGTAACCGAAGGCTGCGCCGCCATGACCTGCCTCATTTCTTCCACGGCTGACACTGTGTCTTCGTCGACCTTCCGGCAAACTGCGTCGACGCGGTGGGCCAGGCCGAGAAGATGCTGTCCAATCAGGGCCATCCATGCCAGGAGGGCCTCTTGCAGATCGTTCTTGGCCCGAACATTGCCATTGAGCCGCTTCGAGAGCCGCCCCAAAGCATTGGCACTCCTCTGAGCAAGTTGTTCCACTGTGGCATTTTCCGCAGTGAAAGCAGCTTGACTCCAAAGATCCTGTGTGGATCGCGTAGCAATCGATTGGAGTGATTGCACCATCGACGGGGGAAGCCCAAACTCGATCTTGGTCGCCTGTGCAGAGTCGGCTCGCTCCTTGCCTTTGCCGGCTCCACCCTTCTGCGATGGATGGCCGCCACCACCGCCTTGTTTGGGTGCCATACTCCCGTGATGGCTCGAGAGAAGACGGAGGTGGTCCACCGAAGAGAAGCCTCTCCTCAAGGCCCTCCGGGCTTTGCTGCGCGCCTTTCTTTGCCGGCGATGCCAAGCCGGACTGCGCGGGCGACGGCGCGCTGTCGTAGTGCCCAATCCAGATCAGACCAAGTCCTAGGAAGAGGAGCGGCAGGATTGGCAAATATCCAGCCAGGGCAGTCATAAGGGGGCCACGCGGCCCCGGGGTTGGCACAGTTAAGGCAGCAACCTAAGCTTGGCCAGGGCCAAGTTCCAACCTGGAGAGCGCCTCCAGGAAGTGGTCAGCCAATCGAACGGCAGTGACCAGTGTGAAGCCTCCTTGGGCTAGCACAAGCGCGCCGCAATGGCGCTGGGGTCAGGAATGAAAAGTGAGGTAAACAACTCCAAGGGAGACGCTAACCTCAACCTTTTCTCGAGCCGTGACGCCTAACCCCTTAAACCCTAAATCCAAAAACCTGATTTCGGTTTAGGGGCTCAGGGCTGTGGCGGTTTAGTTAAGTTCTAAAGGAAATGTCGTGTAGTTGTCCAAGTTAAGTAAAATCAGCAGTCGCCCAAAAGCCATGTACTGAAGTCTCTAATTTATAGGTACCAATCGAGACGCTTCAAAAATTCGAAAGCCACTTCGATACCCTACAAACCCTAAAGCCCCCTGAAACCCCAAAATCACTAGAGGTTAAGCTGTGCAGCTGAAGTTTGAAGTTTCGAGAAGCGCTTCTGAGCCAAAGATGGATACCATGGCCAATGTAATAGCCATCTTATGACCGTTTGCGGCCTCGTCCAGCGCGGCACGCACTGCCGACGATATCACCTTGAGTCAGAGCTAGGCTCACGTCGAGTTGTTCTGCAAAGCCAGAGCATGGCTTCAGGGCTTCGGGCTCGGCTTAGGGCTGGTTACTCGGGGTTTCGGGCTATACTTCGGGTTTACCAACGCGCATACATCCATGGCAGGTTCCTTGAAATGTGTTTATATAATGAGAAGATCAGGGAATCCATATGGGGTGGTTGTCAAAATTAGGGTCCCCTTTTGGTACCCCAAATAAAAGGTGCTGTACTATGATAGGGGCCCAACAAGGGACCATAATTTTGACAACCACCCATATAACAAGCTAAAATTAAGAGATGCAAGGAGGAGTGCTCGCCTTAGGCATCGCAATGGCATCGCCCTGTATCTCCGGACATATCTCCGGGATACTGGACCTCACGACAATACGAACTAAAACAACAACCACAACAACAACACAATAGTCACACCGGGATCTACAATAGAAACACGTGTCGGAAGAACAGTCGAAGAAGGATCATGCTAATTGGAACACGAACATTCATGCGAATGGCAATTAACGACAATGGCACTCCATCACTCCATCAAACGCCTGAAGCGGAAAACGTAAACTCTAAGATAGAAACATCAACAAAAACTCGGGGTTTGGGTTGTCGTTATAGCTGTAAGCGTACTTATTCGGGAACCCCCGCGAACAACGATAAATAAGAACTCCTACACCCCGAAACCTAGACCCTACAAAAAGAGCGCCACCAACATTCAGGACCGGGCTTTGGAGACTTCCTCCGCAGACGTCCTGGCTTCTTGCCGGTTACCCAGCCATCTCTACGTACGCTTTTGCTGCTGGGCTCGTGTGTTCCGGGGTTGGGCTTTAGGGGCTAGGGTAACTTAAACCTTAAACCCTTAAGCAAAAACTCAAGAGCCACACATCTACTGCATCTATATCAGCTGGTTTTATCCGGGGCGAGTCTTACAGCGCAGTCAAGCACTAAAAATAAAAATAAAAAAAAAACTGCAAGCCTTCTCTGGTTGAGGGTTTCAGGTGTTTGGGTTTATCGGGCTCTAAGGGTTTATGACTTAAAGGGAAGATCTGAATCCTCTGCAAAGGTATGTCGCAAAGGAGTGAACCCAGCAAACGCCAACCTTAAAGGGTTTCTGCCGCTTAGTCGAAAAATGCCCCGAATACAACCCCAAAGCTCGAAGCCTGAAGCCCCGAAGACCCCCAAAAGCCTCAACCTCTACAGCGCTAATATGTGGTTCCTTGGGTTCCTTTGAAGGGTCTATAAGGGTTGCTATAAGGGATCTACACGGGTACTGGAATATAGGTGCCTTAATAACTACCTCTACTATTTTGACAGGTTTCGTATTATAATTATGGTATGACGGGCTCCAAAATCCTATTCTAATCATTAAGGCACCCTATATTTCGCCTTCTGCTCTGGACTAAACCCCCAAACCTATAAACTGTAGAACTGGAAGCCTTCCACTCAAAAGCCACGAAAACCCTTAAACCCAAAGCCTTCAACATAAAAGACCTAAAGGCCCAAAACGCTAGTCTGAGACCATAAAACCCCGATGCTGGAAGCCATCTACTGTAAACCCCTAAAAAGCTACACCTCAATGCCTTCAACTACCCAAAACCCTACCCCTTAAACCACCCCAAAACCCTGAAACCCCCTAAATGCCCGAACAACCCTCGAGCCCGGATGGCTGTCTCATCCTTGGTCGGGTGCACCCCTACACCGAAGCGACTATCTTGAATCGCAAGCAACAGCGGGGCATGTAGCAATGCTGTCACTCCATCAAAGGCCCCAGCACCCCAATGGCTGAGCATGCGCTGAAGAGACTATACTGAACTTAGAACCGTAGCAAAAATATAATTTTAGCTGTTTTATTTCTAAGTACCCTAAGGAGTGAGGCGACTCGGTGCAGCGGGGAGAAGCTGGGCGAGTGGCACGGAAAGAAACAGTGGCCATGTCTCCCCATGATCACGAACGTCACAGCTGGAGTCCAGAGCTGTAGCAACCCGGAACATCGTTCCCGGGCTTCATACTGATCAAGCGCTGGTTTCCTCCTTCCAGTCGCGTTCGTCAACGCCATTGCAGCCAGCATGCGCTCCTAGAAACTGCAAAGCTGTGATGCAATACATGATGTAGAGCTTGGCTGACCCTTGCAAAGTCTATTAGGGGATTCGTAGGGCTTAGGGCTATCTTCAATTTCAGAATCATCTTCTAGTGTTCAGGGTTAGGGAGGTTGTAAGTCTGTCGATGATATTCCAAACACGTAGAATAGGGCCTGTCATGTTCTTCAAACCTTCCTCTATCGATGCGATAGTTTCTGAACATAGCCAGTGTTAACTGGCACTGCACTACAGAGCCACGCTGAATAGTACGTCACTACAACTCCTCTTCTACCTTCATCCCAATGGCCCTAACACTACAACGTTAAGGAACCTCTGAAGAACCCAGTTCAGACTAAACACCGAAAAACCTAAACCCAAAAACCCGAACACACGCAGAACCCCCATGGCCATAGAACCCTCGTAACAACCCTATGAAGCCCGCAATCTACATTTGACATCAGCGTCAAACCCACAACGTCCAAGTAACAGTGCTTATGTTCAAAGGACCCCATACTATACAAGGGGCCTCAACAATTAGAATAAGCTTTTGGGGCTCTGTATATTGTAATTATAATAAGGAACCCCAAAATAGTATTGGTAATTATTTAAGCCCCTAAGCCCCTATAGTAGAGTCTCTTTACCCCCACTGCTGCCTGCTAGAAGCCGTGGCTTCCGAAGCGATGGCAGATGGGGCCGCCTCTCCAGCGAAAGAAGCCGCGGACTCTGGCTGTGAGAAATCATATCGGTTTCTGGCTTAGGGTATTGGGTCTAGGGTTTAGGGCTTAGGGTTTGCCCCATAGTAGTTCCTTGTTGGGGTTCATATGGGTAGTTGTCAAAATTATGGCCCCTTTTGGGGTACCCTAAATATTAGGTGCCGTATTATAAGAAGGACCCACAAAGGGACCATGATTTTGACAACCACCCATATAGGTTTCTGGTTTAGGGTACAGTAAACCCCATAAAGTTGGAAACCGGATGAAGGCCAAATAGTGCTGGGATTCCCTATACATTACTGTTAAGGATTGAGGCTATGGGGTTTCCAACTTTTGGGCCTCTACTGTATGGGGTTTAGGGTTAGAATCGGGAAACCCCACACCTGAAACCCTTGAAGCAAATATCGCAAAACTGCCAACCTTGAAGATCCCACCCTACACCCTTTGCGCAAAACGATCGGAGACTATAAGACCTTGTCAGACCCTATGCCCCACGAGAGCCCTGATGTGCCCTTTTAAAGCCTCATAACAGCTGTCTCACAAACCGTTAAAGAGAAGCAGAAAATCCAAGTTGGACCCGGTACGAGACCCTAAACCCGAAACGAAGCCTTGACAAAAGACGGCGATTATAAACCAAAGACTTAACCCTAAACCCTAAACCCTCAACCCTGAACAAAAACCCCAAATGGGGTGTGCGGATTGACGCGTCAGCCCTTTACTAGAAGTTTAATGCGCGGATAGGTATATATCGTTGGAAGGGCTCTGAGGCCTTTTGTTGCTTCATACATCTGCTTTGTGAGGCTTTCAAGGGAGTTTTGCAAGTAGGTAGACAGTGGGTTTGTGGTGGTACAGATGCAAATAAATGGAACTTGAAACCCTCAAAGGTACCCTGATAGTACCACTTTATTACTCTCTTCTTCAACAGCCGGGCCCCAAAAAGTTCTTTTAAATAGAGCTAATATATAAGGCCAAAAACTTTAAAGTTCCCCTGTTCACTATCTAAGATTATAGTATCAGTTAAGGGATCGAACTCCTCAAAGGAGCCCAGTTTCAGAGCACTACAGAGAACCAAACCAGACAGGATCTCGAAGCAATTCCTCCATCTGCTTCAGAGACTGCGAGGAACTACCCGCAGCCCAGAGTCGCTAAACACCGTCTAAACCGTCTAAACCCTCAACCCCTCTACACCCGAATATAGGGGCGATAATAATTAGAATAGGGTTTTGGAGCCCATTATACTAGAACTATAATGAGCGACCCCCAAATAGTGTTGGCGTTTATTTACGCCCCTGTATTACGCCTTAAACCCTCAAGCTTCTCTGGAGCTGAACCCTGAACTGTCAACACTCAGGCTCCGGGGTTGAATTCCCAGAGAGCCCAATACCAACTTAATTAAGGAATATACCTTAAATTAGAAGGGGCTTCATATTGTGATTTAAGGCATATTCCTTAACTAAGGTGTATTGGGCTCTCTGGGTTCAGAGCGAGTTTTGGGGCCTTCCCCAAAAAGGGGCACCCCGGGTTTGGTTCGAAGATCTTGGTCTCGATGCCCTCAGGGTTATCCTTGCACTAATCCTTCTTTCAGGTTTATCAAAGGGGAAAAGGAGGGACCCTTAATGGGGACCCCTACCCTATGATGGGCTAAAAAATGGGTATATAATGGCTATATTAAGGGTATATACCTAGGGGTCCTTATTAAGGGTCCCTCCTTTTCCCTTTGAGTTTAGGGGCTTGAGGTTTTAGGGCTTAGGGGCTTAGGGGTTTAGCGTAACTTAGGCTTTCCAGCTTTTTGGAGCCCATTTTTAAAGTTGAAGACATGTGGCATATGAGGTGGCACGGTTTGATCTCGATATGTTCCTAAACTCCTAACCCCACTTGGAGGTTCAGGGGTAGTCATAAGTGGGGTTATAAGTAGGGTAACTACTATAAGCATAGATTGTAACCCCAAATTAAGGGACTTATAACCCCGCGTATAACTACCCCTGAACCTCCAAGTAAGCCAGACCTTCCAAAATCCCGTAATTAAGGAATATACCTTAAATTATAATAGGATCCCAAATATGAATTATAGGTATATTCCTTAATTAAGGGATTTTGGAAGGTCTGGGAACCCTTCAACCCTGAAATCCTTAGCCGCGGTCGCCTGCACGGGCGCCGGCGAGGGCGGCGCCGCGAGCACCGCGGGCGCCGTCGTGGCGGGCGGTGCCAGACTCGCCAAGTACTCCGCCATGGCCTGGGATATTGAAGTTTCTACCCAAAGGCTCCATAGTCGTTCCTTTTTGGGATTACCTCATATGATTCTAAGTATGAACCCCACAAAGGAACTACTATGGAGCCTTAGGGTAGAGATGCTAACGCTGCTAAGCAGGGTTTAGGGTTTAGAGTGGCCTGGGCTTTTGAGGCTTCGAGAAATGCTGTAAGGTTAGGGTTTTTGCGCGGTAGCATAAAGGCTAGCCCATACGCCAGGACAGACAGCCCATAACCAGCCGAAGCGAAGCCGAACCCCAAACCATGTGAAGCGAGAATCTAGGCTTATATCAGACATTGGATGCTGTGCAAGTTTGCATGCGAGGTGGACGTCACCCGGACTTATGTCAGGCCTTGCGTGAGAGGCCAAGGCTCAAAGGATATGGTTGCTACGGCGAGCTTTGCGAAGGCGGACGCTCTGGCCAGAAGGGCCTTTTCATCGAGACGTAAAGGTTTATGACAGTGACAGCTGGGTGCATGGAATCTGCCAGGGTTTAGGGGCCCATTGTACTATATTATAACCAGGATCCCGAGGATAGCGAAGGTAATCTTAATGCCCGAAGCCCCATGCCTTCCTTGGGGTGTTTTTCACTGGCACTGACACGCGCGGGGGTGTGCCCTCAGTCAAGGGAAGCGAGTTCGAAATTGTGCAACGATCTTTAGTCAAGGATGGAGGTACCCTGAGATCCGCTGCCCGAATAAAAATTGGCTTGCCTTCTTACGAGTGACAAAAAGCTGTTTTACGCCACAAAAATTTCTAAAATATGGCAGCAAGCAACTGTCAGGGCCAGGCAGGCCGGTGCCGTAAAGATTCACTGCGACAGCGTTTAGGCATACTAGACTAAGCAACATGGTGTCTCGCTGGCGCTCCCACCTACCCACAGAAGGAGACGAGTGGTGGGAGCGTTTAGAGTTCAGGGTCCTATAGTGCGTAGATGTGCGTAGGGTATCGAAATTCGGGATGCTGGGCATCTTAATTACTTAGTTCAAAGCTTCAGGTCTCCAGAAAGATCACCACCTGCTCGTCAGAAAGCCTTTGGAAAACGACCGCAAAGTGATAGCAAGAACAGGAAGAAGGGTCAGTCAGAAACGGTCCAGGGAGTACTAACTATGGTAGCTTTTAGCATCACCACCTGTGGCATAACAAGCGAAGCCATCACATCACAATGAAGGCATATGTGCAGAAGAACAGGAACTTTGGGAGATCGGTAGAACTGCCCCCTTCCACAAACCCGAAAAACAAACAAATACCAGACGCCAGTACCCTAAACCCCGAGCCCAAACCATGAAAACCCAAAGCCTGAACATGTACTCAACCCCGAACCCGGACCCAAACGTCTCCAGTTTTGGGTGGCCAGGCCTGCATCGTGGGGTAGTCAAACATCAGCGTGCCTTCGTAGCGAATGAAGCGTGCTTCGAGCCCCGTTATGATGGACCAATATGGTTTGAATCTCATGCTGTCACGCGGACGACGTTTGAGGCCCATGGAAGCCCACGTACGCACTTGCGCACGCACACGCAGACACAATCTAATGGCTCGGTTTTGCTTTGAGTTTCCCTCCCCAAGTTGCCCTGCCTATAAGTGTACTTTTAGGATATCTCAACTGGCCAGTTCTTAACAACCGTCCTGTCACTTGAACCCTGAAACTGTCCTTTGTTGTGTGCTGAGCAACATGAACTTTCGTATTTTAGGTTCTGTAACAACTCCGCTCAAGCTAAACCCTCTATGCAGAGCCCAGGCCACCAAGGCCATGAATTCCCTGACTTTGACGCGACCAACACGACGTCCGATTTTCTCAGCCCCAGGCTAGGCAGCTGCTGCTGAGTCTCCTTTACATGGATGGTTGTCAAAATTATGGTCCCCTTTTGTGTCCCGGTTAATACGGCACCTCATATTTAGGGTACCCAAAAAGGGACCATAATTTTGACAACCGCCCACATGGCTTGGAATAGGCGAGTACATAGCCTCGCTAGCAATAACGGCGACGGTACTATCAGGAGCAACTCGAACAGTACCAAAACCAAAATACAAAATAGGACGATGATGATGACACTGCCGAATAACAAGGGTACGTCATGTTTACGTAATGGTCCTAATCTGAGCACGATATGTATGGAAACTTGCTCTGAGGGTGTGACCCACACCTCTGCCTCTGTGTTGGCACGCCTAAATGGCAATACTCACTATACTACCTCTCGCAACAGAATCAACAACAGAGACATCAATAACAACGAGGGCAAACAGATTAGTCAATAAAGCAATGGTGCGTGAAGGGGAAATTGGGGAAGTACTGGAGGTCAGTTGATGCTCGAGCGGGCTTGAAGACCTGACTGTCTGGAAGCCACGTGGGGGTTGGGACTGAGGAAGTACACTCCCTATTCACCTCAATCCCTACTACATCTCACTTGCTGACATCTTGTGGCTTAGGCTCTCAACTGGAATTCGGCATTTCTTGGTTTGCTGTAGCTCTGCCTTGTGGGACTCAGGCTCGGTTACTAATACCCCGAGCCTGTCGCACGGCTTCCAAATCTTCTGCAGTGGCTTGCCAGACTTTGCAGGTAGGGAACGCACGTCTGGTCTCATTTGCCGAATGCTGGAATGGGGAAGCCGCATGGTTGGGCTGATGGCTTCGGGAGCAAGGTATGGTTCACAGACAGTGCACAAGTACGCATTGCGTGCAACAGCCACAGAGGACGTGCGAAGCAGTCACTTGAGAGCGCGCGTGCGACAAGCTGCGGCACTGATACAAAATTGTCAAGGGTCGAAGGACTACGTACGCAGTGCAAAGTGTGAGCTCGCCTCCTCGACACAACCTCGTAGAAGAGCAACATCAACATAGCATATGCGCCAATCCACCGGAGCGGAAGCCATGAGACTTTGAATCGTTTGTTGTTTTTGCAAACCACGACGCAGCTGGAGCCGTTGCCGTGTCCGAGCCTCTCACCCGCATTCAGACATCAACAGCGAAATTGAAGCTCCCCTACTTGTGCGTCTGTGAGTATACTCGTCATGAAGTTTTTTGCCATTTCTTGCCCATCAGATTAATCGTCAGATTGTCTCCAAAATCCATGCGGTCTGCATGCCGGACAGTTCTAGGGCTTCTTGTAGAGACCTCCACATCCCTACAAGAAAGAAAATGCGCAACACGAAAAGACGGCGAGCCCGACAGTGTCGTAAAGCTGAACACCCAACTCAACCGCTTCAGTCGCTTCGGTAGAGCTTAGTTCAGGGCTTAGGGTGCAGGGTCCATACGATTTCAGCATTTCCGGGCTACGGGAATACAGGCTTTGGGATTCACGTGCATGCGGTGGGGCCTTCGGGTTTGGGGGTCAGGGTCTTAGACATATGCGAGCATGCATACCCACAAGCTCCATTGCAGTTCCTTTTTGTAGTTTATATAGGATCCTTTAGGTACGGCCCCCACTCAGTAATAGTTGAATAATATTCACAATACAGATATAGTAGGACCTTAATAGTAGCCTTATTTTGGACTCTTACTGTATGGGGGCCGTACCTAAAGGATCCTGTAGGGTATTCCCAAAATGGAACTACTATGGAGCCTGTGGCATACATATTACAAAGGCAAGGTGGGGCACAGCATTCCTCCACCGCCGCCTCTTTCTCGCCAATCAGTTCATGCCCACGACCCTGATCTGAGACTATAAGTTCGACAACCTGGGTTCTTGATAAGTTGCCATAACCACCGAACTTCCACGTTCTGGGTTTAGAGATACGAACATGTGACTCAATGATATAATTCTCTGAGTTCGTACCACCCGGCTAGACCCCTTACGTGCCGTTACCACCCCTGAACCCCGAAGCCGACAAAGAAAGGAGGTGCAGAGCTCAAGAGCCTTCAACCCTTGACCTTAGGTACTGCCCCCATACAGTAAGAGTCTATAGTAGTAAGGTCCTAATACATCGATATTATGAATATTATTCAACTATTACTGAGTGGGGACCGTACCCAACGTTGACCCTAAACTCTGAACAACCAGTTGGCCTTGAGGCACCCAAGGGGGCACCCAGACCCTCACCACCTCTCCACCATAAACCGACAACCCTAAACCCTTAACCCAAACCCTACAACCCTCAACCCTCAACCACAAAGCCTGAACCATAACAGCACGATGCACTCCCCAACTCCAGAAGCTCTGAGCCCTGGAAGCCCTTAGCGGAAAGCAAGAAAAATCCGGTAGAAGCAAAGCAATACGAACTACCATAATCACAACAATAGCGATGCTATTACGAGTACTACTAGCTGCATTACAAATACTAATGACAGCAATTATCTCTAAACCCTAGACCCTAAGCCCTACACCCTAAGCCCTAAACCCTCTGGTATCGCGGCCAAACGAGCCCTAAATCCAAAAAACTCCACCCCACCCCATCCCCTCAACCCCGAACCCCGGAATCCTGCTGCACAAGCCCCCCCAAACAGATCGAATGCACAATCCCGTCGAGCTTTCGACCCCCAAAGCCGCGAGCCCTAGACTCCTCCATAGAAAAAACCGGAGACTGAGGACAAGATTGAGAATTTATATACCTTAGCCTACCAAAACCTACAAAAAAGTAGGGTCCCCATTGATTCCGTATTAGGGTTCATAATAAGAACCTACAGAAAAGTAGGGTTTGGTGGGTTAAGGTATATGTATATATATATATATATAATTCCAATAATTTCTGGACAAGAACAAGTGCTGATAGGAACAAGAATGCTAGTACTACTGCCTCTAGCAAAAAAACTAACATCGCGAAACACTCAAATACCCAAAACTTCGGACAAGAACTTCAGGAACCACGGAGAACGAGCACTAGGCTTCAAGTCTTAAGCCATGGATGTCCTAGACTGATGGGGTTTAGGGTTTAGGGGTCTTAATCCACGGATGGCTAAAATGATGGGGTTTGGGGTGTAGAGGTATGAAGCCACAGAGGTCCTAGACGGATATGACTGTGGTTACTTTAGAGCTTGGTGTACATTG